GCCTCATCCATTCATCAATCATTTCCTTCCCCTCGCTTCTCTCCTCCTCAATCATCTTCCTTATCTCCTCTGCCTCGTCGTCCTCCTCCTTGTCTCTCCCTTCTCCCTTTCTTTGCTATCGTTTGCTTTCGATCACTTGTCTTGCGTCAAACATCTTTTTCTTTTGGATTGGGTCTTTCTTTCTTCTTTTTTTTTCTTTTTCCTTTTTGGCTCCTTCCTCGCTCTCTCCTCTTCCCTCCTCTGCCTCTCCTTGTCCTCTCTCTTTTCCACTTCCTCCCTTTCTTTTTCCTCCTTTCTCTTCCTCCCCTTCTTTCTCTTCATCCAAACCCTCCTCATCGATTTTTCTGTCATGTCCTTCTTTTGCATATTGATCTACTTTTTATCTCCTCAGAGTGTGGTCTCCAGTTTGCCAAGGGGTCCAGGCTGGAGAATCTCCAGTCTAGGTGATGCTTAGGGTTGGAGTCTCTGCATTCTGTCAGATTGAGATGACTGTGACCACCCTGCATATTGTTGCTGGGTCTGTCAAACAACACCAATTTGTACACGTTTTTCCGGCGTGCGTGAAATGTCAACTTTGTAGCACTTTGTTTCCAAGCATTTAGAATGCCTCTCTCACAACATTGATTTGTTAGCGGTGTCTGTCAGTTATACCAGTCAGATAAGCTCATGAATGTAATTGGGAGATAATTTTGAATTATTATTTTTACTATTAATATTATTCTATTGCAGTTGTGCAAGCTGTGAAGTCAATGTGCCATCTGGTGGTAGGTCAGAAACTAAAGAATATATTCGATGACTTTTCTAGCTTTTGGAGAAAACTAACTAGCGACAGTCAGTTGCGATGGGTATGTACTTTATTTCAAAAACGAATTTTGTCGTGGGAAGGTTCTAAATTAGTAAATGCAATGAAACAGCTCAGGTAATTGCTCAGGTGGTTATCCATGTACTGTGGTTTTATGAATAGCAACATCATTTTCATCAGGTTGGACCCGAAAAAGGTGTCATTCACCTAGCGACAGCGGCAATCGTCAATGCCCTTTGGGATCTATGGGGCAAGGCTGAAGGAAAGGTGAGATTATGGGCATCATTGCTCTCAGTTACCAACAGGTATATAACTTTCGACAACCCCACCTCAGAACCAATGCTCTTTGCGTCCTTCCCTTAATTTAAAATATGTGTGCGGGTGTCTCTACTTTCTTTGTAGTAATGATTCACTGAGGTTTTTGCAAACGTTTTCTGTACCACTTGCGTGTTGGCAGATGAAACGTTAATCTGCGACTATTTCTCATCTTCCCAGCCAGTCTGGAAGCTGCTAACTGACATGACCCCAGAGCAGATTGTATCTCTGGTTGACTTCAGATACATGTAAGTAGTAATACACGATGTATGGTGTTATAGTGTTGTAGGTAGTAAGTCTACGAGTTACGAAATAGGATCATCTCTTCTAGCCTTATAGAAAGTTGGAAATTTTCAAGGTCTGTGGTGATGGTAGGGACGTCCCAGTCTTTCATCGCCCTGGCCTGTCCTTTCATAACTGTGGAACACAACTGATTTGTGTCCACTAGTAAGGGGAAATCTTCACAAACCTCTCTAGCATCATAAGAGATTGAAGAATACAGATTTGCCGAAATTTGCCAAGGGTTGGGTAAAGGGTTACAGCACTGGGCCTGTAATAATATCAGGAGTGTATAATATAGATGTCTATATTAATTTACATTATATGTCTGTATATATATATATATATATATATGTATATATTATGTATGTATAAGTATAATATGTCTATATTATACATTCCTGATAATATCTGATATCTGTGTGTTTTCGACATGCAGAACAGACGCATTGACACCTGATGAAGCTCTTGCCATCCTGAAGCAGCACCAGAGCACGAAGCACGAAAGGGGTAAGCAATGAACATACATGCTAATAGCAAACAAATGTTTTCGCTTTGCAAATACATACTTACAGGTGAGAGAGAAGAAGTATTTGCCATTGGAGTAAGTGCATAGTATAATAGGAAATATTAACACTGGATAATGCAACATGTTTTGACATTTCTGAGACAATGTGCCACTATGTGTAGCAACATCTACAATCCCAAACTGTAAAACTTTACTGCAATAGGCTACATTAACCTCCCTAATTAAATCCATTGAATTTGACCGATTGTTTGCATTGATGATGCAGAGGCACAGCTTGTAGAGCAGGGTTATCCTGCGTACACAACATCTGTTGCATGGCTGGGATATAGTGACGACAAGATAGAAAAGCTGGGCAAGCAGGCACTGGATGAGGGCTGGACCAAGTGAGATTATATTATTATGAATTCTCAGGCTGACATTCATTTCACAGTATCGTAAACAACCCGTGCTCTTTGTCCTTCTTTTCCTACTTGATCTACTTTTTTCCGTCTTCCTCGTCTTTATTTCTCATTATTGTTTCTTTGTTATTCGGCCAGGGTACATTGATGGGCTAAATATCATATTTGTGTAAATATCAACAGCGTGACACACTATGACAAAGTATTCTCATACTAGCCATTATAGTACTCACAAAATTCCATTGGAGTCAGTGTGCATGTCGTCTATGTAATTATAAGAGTGAATCCCAAATGAAGCTCGTTTCTTGACAGATGAAATATCTTTTGTTGCTCACTGGTTATTTTTCACCTTTGCAGCACACAGATCCAGATTATTCATGTGCCTATGTGATCCTGACAACAAGTCTTGCCCTGAAAGGCCATGGCCTAACATTTACTATAGGAAAGGGAACCGAGATAGGTGAGATACGTCACGTATGCCTTACTCTGAGTAAGGCAGTGCTGCCACCTCCTGGCCATTTTGTGTGCATTGTAACGCTTTTCATCATCATTCCTGTTTACAGTATCACTCGGAACTATAATCGACCAGAGAGATTCTCAGAGACTCCAACTCTCCCGTTTTGGGCGGGAGATCTCCCGTTTTGGGGCCATTTTCCCAAAATCTCAAATTCTTCCGCTTAAGCTGCATTTTTTCCCGCTTAAGTTTTGTTTTCTCCCCCCCTCCAAAAGTGTAATAACAATTTTAAAAAAATAATAATTTGATCGAGGAAGTACAACCTAGAACACACTTCAGTTTAAACAAAAGGAATAAAGGGACAGAATTAAGGTCAGCAATATCTACAGATGCTATTTCACTTTGTTTCTTTAATAAAATTAAGCAAACGAATATGTAAAAATTAGCTTGTTTCAATACTAAAAAAACCATAAAATCCAGGAGCTTCCGGGGGTGCTGCCCCCTGGACCCCCGCCCCCTAAGCTGGGCCCCTGAACCCCACCCGTAAT